CCAGACCAAACCCACTGCCATCCAGTCGATTCTGATGTATAGTCTCTTAGTATTGACGGCAGTGACTCCAAAGACTGTCCCAGGCGGCGCGCCCCCCCCCCCAGCCTTGGATCAGGCAAACAATGTACACCAGGTCTTTCCTCAATGTCAAATGTCTTCCTAAGTCTGCAGAGAACATTAGGATCCCACCCTTGTTCTTGTGGACCCAAAGGGCCGCGTGCCGTAACAGCGTCCAGAGTGCAGTGAGGCCTGGAGGGGAAGGCGGAGACGGGTAGGACGGCCTGGATAAGGCCTGTTAGGTGAGACCTGTAGGCTGATCAGGACTTTGGGTGAGAAAACATGCCCGACACAAGTTAGGGTTGGTGCAAAGCCTGGGCAAGGGACCGAACAAGCCTCAGGGCTAGCCTGCAGTCTGACTATGCGCTTAAGGGTGGAGGCAGCCTGTGGTGACCGAGAAAGGCTTCATTGATAACGCCCATTTTGTCCTTCCGTAGGTGGCTCAAGCTCACCAGACACGTTCGGAGAGCTCCGTCCAGACGACCCTCCATCTGCTTCGACCATGGCCACCAAGACCATTGTCATCGACCATGGCTCTGGCTTTGTGAAGGCTGGCCTGGCTGGGTGTAACGTCCCCCAGCTGGTGGTCCCCAACATCGTCAATTACATGCCATGCCGTGAGAACCCCGGGCCCAGCTACGCTCGCAGACGCGTGAGCCTGGGCATCAACTTCATCCACCCTGACACCTTCAGCTACCCCATAGAGCGCGGCCGTGTGCTCAACTGGGAGGGCGTGGAGCACATCTGGTCGTTCATCATGAGGAAGCACCGAGAGGAGCACGAGGACTGCCCGGTGTTGATCACCGAGAGCCCCCTCAGGGAGCCCTCAGACCGGAGGAAGACGTTGGAGGTAAAGCCCTTTCCGGTTCGCCCATGGAGCTTGGGGCTGGGGAGGGGGCTGGACTGTGGGGGCACTCCTTGTGTCCAGCCATGACGGGGCACCAAGGACTCTGCTTCCTAAAGCATTGTCCAGCGATATTTCCTAGGCACCTGATGCGTGCCCCTGTCTCTCTGGGTGGCACAAGTGGTTTGCAGTCAGCTCCTAATCAAAAGGGTGACCGTTCAAACCCACCCAGCGGCACCGTGAAAGGAAGCCCTTGCAACCTGCCTCTGCCAAGGTTACGGACGGAGACCGCCGGGCAGTTCTGCTCCTGCAGCACGTGGGCTTGCCATGAGTCGGAATCGACTTGATGACAGCTGGCCCTTTCTGCTTTGTTGTGTCCGTGTCTTCAGCTCAGTGGGAGGCGACAGGGGCTCCTAGCAGCCCCTCCGGCAGGTGGAGAACAGCAATTGAAATACACTACGGGCAGTAGTGAGGAGGTATTTATTTGTAGGGCTGTGCATTCCCGGGTGCCTTACAGGGCTTCCCTCTGGAGGAAGACCTGGACCATGAATCAGCAAACAGAATCAAATTGCTGAATCATGATCCATTGGAGAAAGAAAATGTTAGGGGTGTGGCAGGTGACGAGTGGGGAGGAGAGAAGCCCCTCTGGGAGGTGGTCCCCGAGGGCTTCTCTGAGGAGGTGGCTTCAGCCGGTGAGGTGGAGCTCAGCATGTGGGCAGAGAGTAGCAGGAGGCCAGCGAGATGCTGAGATCCACAGAGGCTAGACTGCACAAGCTTGCGGGAGCATTTGAGTCTCACTCGAAATCAAGAGTGAGCAAACTAGGCCCTGTTTTTGTCAGTAAACGGTAGTGGGCCAAATATGGCCCACCACCTATTTTTTGTAAATAAAGTTTTATTGGAATATAACCTCACCTATTATTTACATGTCATCATGAGTAATTCATATTCCAGCAGCAGAATTGAGTAGTTGTGAGAGAGACTGCATGTCCGGCAAAGCCCAAGATATTTACAGCTGTAGGTTTGCTAGGTACCATACACGCCCTTTTTATGGCCGATAGCCTGGTATTTTTCTCTTGGAGTGCGCTGGTGGGCTCGAACTGCTGACCTCAATGCTTAGCAGCCCAACGTGCAACCCACTTCTTCACCAGGGCTCCTCGCAGGATGCCTGGGTAAATGGAAATTTTGGATCAATGACAAAACATTTTTTCAGTATCAATGGATCCCAAATATGCTATGGGATACACTTCTACTTTTAAAAAGATAAAAGAGCCTTTGCTATTTATCTGAAATTCTAATTTCCCTGAACACCCTGCATTGACTTACACCAGGCAGTGTAACTGTCTGGCCCGTTGCAGAAAGTGATTGCGGAGCCCCACTCCTGGTCGGGAGGCTCCCGCCGGGAAAGGTGGCTTGGGCTGCTGATTGGGGTATGGGTGGTAAGGTGTGGGGGTGCTCTGAGAGTGAGATGGAAAGGGTAAGTAGCCAAGCGCCACAGACTGGTGGCAGTTTCAGGCTTCCTGTACCCATAGAGTGGGGAGCTGGGGTGCCCTGTAAAATTCCAAAGGGTACTAAATGATGCAAATAGTTTGCCCACAGAGACTGAGCTAAACAACTTCACTGGTTTCTGTTCAGCATGGTGGTGGTGGTGACTGGTCCAGTGGTGAGGATTTTTTTTTTTTGAGGGGACACAGGTGTGTGTAATCCATACTGAAGGCTAAAGTCTTTGATTGTCATTAATAAGTGATTCAAGATCGAAGTTGGGGAGATTTCATTTTACATGGGTTCACAGTCAATGCTTATAAAAGCAGCAGCCAAGAAATCTCCATGTGTGGCATCAGACCCATCTGCAAGAAGACCACCAACCACTTCTCTGGATAAAGACTGGGTTTTCTATACCCCTCACCAGTCACAGTCTTGGAAAGGGACAGGGCCAGTTGGACTCTGTCCTGTAGGGTTGCTGTGAGTCGGCATAGACTCCATGGCAGGGAGTTGCTTTATTTTTTTAAGTATTTAAGAGCAAAGATGTCACTTTGAGGACCGGGGTGCACCTGGTCTGAGCCATAGTAGCTTCAGTCATCTCATATGCATGCTGGACAACGAAGAGTGAGAGAAGAACTAGGCCTTTGAATGACCCTGATGGGGAAGAATGTTGAACAGGTCACGGGCCGCCAGCAGAATGAACATGTTGACCTTGGCAGAAGTACAACCAGAACGCGCCTTAGAAGCAAGGATGGCGAGACTTCATCTCACCTGCTTTGGACGTGCTATCAGGAGGGACTGATCTCTGGAGTAGGACACGCTGCTTGGTAAAATAGAGGAGAAAGACCTTCCACGAGATGGGTTGACACCATGGCTGTGGTAGTGGACCCAAGGATAGCAGAAGGCCTGAGGGTGGCGCGGGACTAGATAATGTTTCAGCTTGTTGTGCATAGGGTCGCTGAATCAGAACCAACAACAACAACGGTCCCAAAAGTTGGTGATTGACCCACCCCCACCCCCACCCCCACCAGTGGCACAGTGAA